CATATATATATCTCATATTCTCAGTTAAAATTTGAAATTTTCAAATTTCATTGCCTTATTACTCTGTGAAAACAAGCTCAATTTTAAATCTGTTTTGTATTTTCATAATCTACGTTTCAAGACGATTCTAATGATGTAAACTCTCATTTTGTGACAGGGGCACTTTAAGTGCGACTAAACACGAATTAAGTACACCATTAATCCTACTTTAATAGCATATTAAAGGTGCGCTTTTCGTCCTGTGATATACATGTTTCGGAGTTCTGCGCCTGTAATATGCAATAAAGTGCAATACATATATGCAATAAAGTGTAATAATTTTACATGTATATACTTTATTGCATATTATCCGGCACTAACGTAACAAGGATTTATATTCTCGTGCAGTTAAGTAGCCTGCTCAGCAGGCCCCACAGCAGCAGTTCCGATTTCCATTGAACGAAATTTCGGACCGTGAGCAGGGTAGCAGTTACCACCGAGGATGTCTTGTATCAAGAAATGTTGCCCGGGCCTTGCACAACCTCTCGGTGGCCCTGATGACAGCAGCCAAGTCATCTACTTTCCGGAAGGGTGTCATAAACGCTTAATCCAATAATTATAATATAAAGCACGCTAACAATGGTGACCGGAAAAGTCTTTCTTTTTATTATATTGTCTTTGTTCATTTACTCGTATTGTGATTGGATTGTCTTAAGTGAAATGTTTAGCCATGCATGCATGCCTTTATATTTTTAAATTACTGATTTTATTGTCTTTTATTGCGCAGCTATTGTCCGAAGGTCAAACGCAACTTTTACACAATTTTGAGTCCACACGAAATCACAATATGATGCAATATAAACGACGTTTTCTCGCTACTTCTGAAGATATTGTTGCAATGATATTATTTTCATAGATTATATCGTCTGTTTAAACAGATCATTTACAAATAGATGTGACACGACAAAGTGATGGTGATATTTTGACGTTTGAGGATAGAGTTGACTGCGTGTCGCTGAATGCCCAGTGCTTACCGAAGAACAAACGAGAGATTGGACGAAACATATGTGAGAGCTGTAAATGTTTGTCGAGTTATACAACGTATGTTTCCAATGAGAAACAGTGTATAAATATAAACGGAATTCCAGGTCTAAACTGTCAAACACTTCAGAAACAAGTTGCCAGTGTTGGACAAGTTAACGAACCTGACGATCAGTGGACCAATTCTAGCGTATCGTTGTGAAATCAAAGAAAAAGAAAGGAACCCAGAGGTAAATTCAGGCAGTGGAGATACTTGGTCTTGGATACGAATGACGGATGTTGATTTCTCTTTAAGGAGCTCCAGCAGAAATCCTCCTCGTCTTAAAAATTGGCAGGTAAAATTCAAAGACAGTACCATTTCTAAAATGCTGTCAAAGTACGTTGGTAGAATTGTGAAGTTACAAATCAGTTGTAAAATGCGATGGAAACAAAGATATTACACAGATTTATGTATGATATTCAAGATAGCTGGCTCATTCGTTGGAAATTCAACCACTGCCAGACATCCTAGTGACCGCCCCTATTCCCATATTTCTTCGAACCCAACCACCATCGAAACAACTATATCATCTGATTATAGTACTATATCACCAGTCACAGTGAAGACATCAGATCGATCATCGGAGAAAAATACGGTTGGAAATCAGGAAGGCAGTGTTAGAGGAAAAAACAATCAATTAATTTGGATTCTAATGCCAATTGTTATTGGCATTGTAGTTATATTGATCGCGGTGCTTTTCTATATATGTTACAAAAGAAGGAAAACAATACAATCAAATGCAGAATACCCCAGACGAGACATTATGCAACACGAATATGATGTACCTGTAATTACAAAACCAACACACAATGAAGGACACAGAAGCAATCAGAACACGCGAGAAGAGCATTTTATGAAACGTTTTCAGAAATGCCATATGCCGTCTCAGTTAGATCACGGCATTGGCGAAATAATTTTCCAAAATAACTTTGTATTAGCTGAGAAAATACAAGTTGAAATTTGAAGTGTGTTTTATCTCGTATAAAGACACGCCACGCTTAAGATTTCTCTTTTTGTTTTCCTCATGAATTATTAATGAGTTTTTGAAATAGTTAGACAAAACTAATTCTACGGACTGGGTACGAAAATTTATTCCAAACTCTTCGCAAACTTTAGATAAAAAGATTAGGGTCGGTGATTTCAAGCGAAAGAGTAGGGTCGGAAAACAGGATCCCAGGTATTTTTTTGCCTAATAATTACCACGATATAATATCGTTAACATGCACCCTCTCCAACACAAACACCGGGCTAATACTAAATCACCGGCTTCCCTTGCTGAGAACAGAGCTACGTGGAAATATCAAGATTTTGTTGGCATCACACTGGATTGAATATTGGTTGAAGGGTATTGTAGATGGAAACCGTGCGCTGCACCGGAATCGCAGGACCGCAGATTTGATTCTTGCCAGGGATCTAAAGTTGCATTTTTCGTTTCTGTTCCTGGTTAGCTACTTATAGGTCTAATAAATATATATAAATTTCCACTCGATAATTTCCATCTACAATACCCTTCAACTGAGAACAGAGCTTCTATGAGAAAACATGCATGGTCGGAAAACACGGTTATGAGTTATTTCTCAAATTCATTAATAATTCATGAGTAGTTAAACCAATATAGCATGTGAGCATTCCGTCACAAGATGTTGTTTGGATACCGCAGTCAAACACCGTCAGACACATGCAGCACCACAAGAGTTTGGCTGCATACGTAATTAAGATATTTGATGAAAGTCTGCACTAGTGTTTTCATCAAATATCTTAATTAATACGCATGTTTTAAAATTACTTGAATAGAATTCCTAATTACGTTATGCTTGTTAAGAATTCTATTCAAATCAGCAAACGAAAACATTGTTTTCTCGTGTTTGGATATCCCGGTGAAACACTCGCTCTCGTTGTTCATATACTGTATTAAGCCTTGATTCCACGAGCGCTTTTTGTCAGCGAAATGTTTCGCCTGTTTCTTTTGAATTGCGACCATTCGAATAAATTATTTCTACTTGATTGCTCACAATTCAAAAGAAACAGCCGGCGTAATATTTCGCATTTCGCTGACAAAAAGCGCTCGTGGAATCAGGCCTTTACATACTATGCACATCCTGTTTGCATCAGTGCTTTATTCCACTTATTTACATAAAAGTGTGCAGTGGACCTATTTACATAAAAGTGTGCAGTGGACCTATTTTTAATTACTGAGTTTCGGTGGAGTGTTACAAGTGACGTCGACATTGCGTCCGCTATGCATGAAGGAAATTGCAGCCAAAAGCCAGATTGGTCATTTATTTTCTTATTTTAATGGCAAGAAAAGATGGCAAAAAGTATTACCTGGAAAGAAATTGGTAATTGAGTGGGAGTGGCCTCTTTACCAGTGTTTTTAACGTGCAGTTCTATACAAAATGTGCAGTTCTAAACCCATTTGCGCAGTGGCTTAAAACTCAAATGTGCAGTCACCAAATTAACGGCGAAAATATAACCCCAAAACAGTCTTCTCATTTACTCGTTTTCCTTGTGGATCCTCCAAATGCCCGAAATGCTGTCATTGAGCATCAAAAATTTAAATATTTTCTGGGAAAGGACCGCCAGACCCTCATATTTTCCTCACAAATCACATACTGCTGGGGTAATGGAACAGGATGTAAAATTGGGGCGAGCGATATATATATATATATATATATATATATATATATATATATATATATATATATATATATATATATATATATCTATCTTAGTTTTATTCGTTGTAAATAGACACGATCGACATTCTTACAGTTCTCTAGTGCAGAGGTAACCAATTATTTCAGTGCATAAATATCGATTGCTTTTCTTGCCTCTAGACGGGTGGAGTGCAATCTGATACAACACCGAGCCGGGATGGAGGTTGTTTTGAAGGAGGATGAAATTTTTAAGTACAGATGTTGTAGATAGTAAATAAATTTTTAGGACCATAAAGTTCGTTATTTGTTCTCCTTGGGGGACTTCTTGTATATATAACCTCTACCCCTGCGTTGCAGATATATTTTATAATGGTCTGCCAGATGGACTCTACTGTATATACTGTGCAGTAATTCAAGTAATTTATGAGTGAAAAGCAAAATCAGGTTAGGCAAAACTATATAGATTATACATAGTGTCGACTAGATATGTGTATGAACTTTTCTCTGCAGAATCAAGTATTTCTGTCATTAGTAATTACTGCCAACGTCTGCCTGATGAGGCAAGATGTCAACATACTGCAACTCACTACCACTGCGCCGTACTAGAGGTTGATAATGTGAAGCATCTTGTTCTCTATCACTTGGATTTAGTTCTTGATACTCGTGAGGACTACTGCAAGTAGCTGAATCGGCATACTGCATTTCTGGAATTGTTGCATAAATATGGTCCGCTCCTTGTGGATTACCCCCATGTACGTCTTGAAATTGTGACTTTATAGGAACATCATATTCGTGTAGCCTAATGTCTCTTCTTCGATCTTCCTCATTTGTTCTCTTTGTTTTCCTTCTCTTGAAACATATAAAGACAATTACTGCAATCAATACGATTATAATGACAATAAAAACTGTTATTATAATCCAAATGACGTGATTGGTTTTTCCACTTTTTGATTTTTGATCTTGGGCAGTGTTGTTCCCAGATGGCAGTGATGTCTTTATTATACTATACTTGGTTAATTCAGTGCTAGTATAACCATTTGCTGTGTGCCATAACGTATCCACTCTAGTCGGATTAGTTGCAGGGTCATAAGGATGCCTGACAAGGGTTGAATTCACACCAGTGTCAGTGACAGAACCAGCTATTTTGAATATAATACACAAATCGGTTTGTTTCGTCTGGGGCCGTCGCATTCTACAACTGAGTTTTAACTTCACAATTCTACCGGCATATTTTGACAACATTTTAGAAATAGTATTATTGTTAAATGTCACCAGCCACTTTTCAAGGTGTTTGTGTTTGCTAAAACGACTTAACGAGAAGTCCACATCTATCATCCGTACCCAAGTACCAGTACCTTTAATTTATTATCTGAATAGAACTCTGGATGCTGTTCTTTAATTTCGCAACGATGCGCCCAGAACGGTCGACTGATGGCTTTAGTCGATTTTTTCAGCACTGTCACTTGCTTCTGGCGAAGTATTCGACTACAATTTAAAATTGTCATTTCCTTTGTATTTATACACTGATTCTCAGTTAAGACATATGTGCTATATCCTGACAAACATTTACAGCTGTCACATATGTTATACTTTGTATTTGGAACTCGACTACATTTTGCATTGAACAAAGCACAGTCAACTTTATCCTTGAAGACCAATATATCACCATCGCTTTGTCTTGTCACATTTACTCGTAAATAGTCCGTTTGAACGGACGATATATTTTGTAAAGACAAAATAATTGCAAAAAATCCTTCGAATATAGAAAGATATGTGTATATTTCATCCTATTGACTGTCGTGTTTTGTGTAGTTTTGTCGATTGTGCCTTCGGCTGTATTTGATATTATCAATGTATTCCGGCACTTGCTCAACAATCCAATCACACAATACGAACAAAGTATGCTGCCTATACTGACAGTACTGTAGAGGAAGACCGATTTATGAAAGACAATTAGCGTATTTCCGCCCAGCAGTTTGTATATACATATGATGTGCTAATCTAATGAATTATAATCTAATGAGTTCAGTGAGTTCACATTAGTTAGTAGACCTTACTCCTTAGTATAATACAATAGTCCCCCGCTAACTCGAACTCGCTTAACTCGAACTCCTCGCTAACTCGAACTAAATCCAATTCCCCTTGAATCTGACACTGTTTTTTATAGTAATTTACTCCGCTTAACTCGAACTCGCTTAACTCGAACTCCTCGCTAATTCGAACAAATTTTGTTTTCCCTTGGTCAAATTTATCCCGTTAACTCGAACTTTGTTTTCGAGTCGTGGACCGGCAAACCTT